GCATACACAACAGACATTTCTTTTCTCATAGTTCTGGAGGCTGGAAGCCCATGACCCAGGTGCCAGCAGGGCTGGTTTCTAGTGAGGCCTCTCCTCCTGGCTTACAGACGCTGCCTACTCTGCGCGGTCTTCCCTCTGTACACACGGAGGAGAGAGCGCTCCTGTGTCCCTTCCTCTTCTTATGAGGACAGTCCTATCAGATTAGGTCCCCTCTCTTATGACCTCATTTAACCTTACTTACCTCCTTAAAGACCCTGTCTCTAAAAAAAGTCACACTGGGGATTAGGGGCTTCAACAGATGACGTTTGAGGAGACACGGTTCAGTCTGTAACGCCTCCCAGTTCTGGCTCTGAGCCCCCGGCCCCGGCTGTCTGGAGTGCTAACACTCTCTGGAGTGCACGGCTGCTAGGGTGCTGCTGTGTGCCAGGCATTCCACAGAGCCTCTCTGTGCTGCTGTTCCTGGCCGATCTCAAGTCTTTCTGTAGTTACGGATACTGACTTTGGACCCAAGTTGTACCTTGTATCAACCATTGCTACCTCCCCATTGCCTGCCTGCCATTTCATCTCTCTGCGCGTCCTGAGCAGCCCGATCATCTTGTTGTCTGTGCACCTAGGGAAGTCATGTTCTGGGAGCGAGGGAACGTCTCGGCCAGTGCTGCCAGGGCCTCCTCCGTGAACCTGCCTGCACGTTCCCATCACCCTCATCCCTGTTCAACTCTGTTAGTTTGGTCACAAGCGAGAGAACCTGAACGTGAACCTGGTTCAGCTTAAAGGAGCATCTGTCGGCTCACAGAATACAAGGAGGGGTTGCAGAGTCGAGCTCTGGGAAGGGCAGCGATGCCTCTAAGCTCAGGCACAGCCAGATTCTGACTCAGTGGGTCTGCGGCCGGCACGGAGATTCTGCCTTTCTCACAGGCGCCCGGGTGATGCTGTGCTGCTGGTGTGCGGACCACACTTCAGCAGCAATGAGATGGAACTGCTGGCCGGTGTCTTCACATGCTCAGCAGCAAGCTAACTGCCATGCTTGTCCTCTGTGGTTTAGTTGTAGGAAGTGTGCCCTGACTTTCCCATCACGGAGGAAACGTAACACTCAAGTTGGCAGTGCTTGGGGAAAGCCCCCCCCTAAAAATATCCATACCTTTGACCCAGTAATTCCACTTGTGGATGTCAGTTCTAAATAAATAACCCAGGAGATGGGAAATCCAATGTGAACAGTGATGTTCTACTACACCGTTATGTATACTAAAGAAACTAAAAGTCGGTGTCTGGTATAAAGAAAATGATTATAAATTAGAATAAATTCACTCAAGATGATATTGTGGGCATATGTTTCTCTTCTTTCCCTCCCCAAAAGCGACATATCAGTAAATGAATAAAAATGGTATGAACTCAAAGTCAACAAATTATTGAATGAATGGTTTCAGCTAGTCTGTTGAAGATTGAATTCAAATTTTTTTTCTATCCTCACCCGAGGACATTTTTTCATTTTTTGTTCAGATAGAGCGGGAAGGAGAGAGAGAAAGAGAGAGAGAAAAAAACATCGATGTGAAAGGGACACATTGAGTGGTTGCCACCCACACGGGACAAACCACAACCAAGGTACATGCCCTTAGCGGGAACCAAACCCGGGTCTCTCTGGACTGCAGGCCAACACTCTAACCGCTGAGCCAAACCGGCCAGGGCTGGTCTGTTGAAGATTGAAAGTCTAAGGAATGGGGGAGCAGAACCTCAGGCCTCTCCCGCTATTTGTAATGTTTTACTTTTTAAATTGGGTGATGAGTTCAAAGGTGATAGTCTTATCTTTTGTAAACCTTCTTATACATTAACTTTTATACCTTTTTGTGTGCCTGTAATATTTTTAAATTTAATTTCAAAAACAGATGGGGACAGAGCGAAGGCCTCTATAACCTGCGTGTAGGGGTGTGAGTGTTATCACGAAGTGGGCCAGTTCGCCCAACAGAATGTGCCTCCGCTCTTAAGGCACCAGGGACAGTGCGGGCCAGAATAAGGCGGGAGGCCAACCCCCTCAGGAGGGGAAGTCGTCTCCGGAGCCTGTGGACTGCTAGCTCCCGCCCCACTGAAAGACCGTCTCTCCCCAGTAACTACCCCCATGGGCAGTTTCTTCTCCTTGGAGCTCCAGTGGAAAGATGCGCAAGCTGCCCGGTGACCCGACGCTGCAGCCCGCGGCCGGCAGGTCCTGCCCACGCACACTCAGCCTCCACGCAGGTCTTCGTGCCTCTCGCTTAAGCACAAATGGGCGTCCAGAGGTTTTCCAGACGCTCAAGAAAAACCTCACCGTGAGGGAGTGACATCAAAACAAACAAACAAAAAAGGACTTGGAGGAACTAAAAGCTATTCGAGAAACAGAAGAAACTGATAATAAAAACATGGAATAAATATGTTTATTTATATTTATTTATTTATTTATTTTATTAGTATTATTATTTTTGGTATGTGCCACTAGTGGGAACCGAACCCTGGGACTCTCTGGTCCACAGGCCAACGCTCCAACTGCTGAGCCAAACCGGCCAGGGCTGAACATGTTTATTAATATGTCTTATTAGCCCTGGCCGGTTTGGGCAGCAGTTAGAGTGTCCGCCTGCGGTCTGGAGAGACCCGGGTTCGGTTCCCGCTAAGGGCATGTACCTCGGTTGCAGTTTGTCCCCGGCCCTGGTTGGTCGTGCAGGTGGCCACTCAATGTGTCCCTTTCACATCGATGTTTCCCTCTCTCTCCCTCTCACTCTATCTGTACGAAAAATGTCCTCGGGTGAGGATAAAAAAAATAAAATAAAAATAAAAAAAATATGTCTTATTAATAAACATATTACATAAAACAAGAACTAGATACTGTGATAAACAAGAGTGAATTCTGGAAACTTAAGAAAATGATAGCTCAAATTAAAATAAACAAAAAGAAAGGTTGAAAGAACTGTCCCCAGAAAAGACAAAAGGATAAAAAATGGCAGGGAAAATTTAGGAGAATTAGATTATCAGTCAATTCAAAATGTCTAATATTTTTTTTTGGCATTTTTTTTTATTAATTAGAGAGAGAGGCAGGGAGAGGGAGAGAGAGATAAAGACATCGATGAGAGAGAACATCAACTGGCCGCCTCCTGCATGCCCCCCACTGGAGATTGGGCCCACAACCCAGGCATGTGCCCTGACCAGAAATCAAACCAGCAACCTCTTGGTGCATGGGTCAATGCTCAACCACTGAGCCACACCAGCTGGGCAAGATGTCTAATATTTAACTAAAAAGAATAGAAAGAAAAAATGAGTGGTACGACATTAGCAAAGAAATACTATTTATAGGAAATATATTGCACATTGTACCCAGCACAGTGAACACAAACAAGCAAGGGCCATGGTGACATTTCAACGCACTGTAGCAATAAGAAAAGATCCTAACTTCCCAGAGAAAAAAGAAACTGTTTAGAATCAAAATGGATCCAGACTTCTCAATAGTAACACTGAATGCAAAAAAAGAAAAAGAAAAAAAAGTAGACCAATGCCCTCAAAATTCTGAAAGAAAATTATTTTTAACTGTGGGTTTCATATCCAGTGCTATCAGCCAAGTATAAAGGTAAAGTAAAAACATTCTCAGGAAGCTATTAAAGAATGTGCTTCCGCCCTGGCCAGTTTGGCTCAGCGGTTAGAGCATCGGCCTGTGGTCCAGAGAGACCCGGGTTCCGTTCCCGCTAAGGGCACGTACCTTGGTTGCAGTTTGTCCCCGGCCCTGGTTGGGTCGTGCAGGTGGCAGCCACTCCATGTGTCCCTTTCACGTCGATGTTTCTCTCTCTCTCCCTTCCTCTCTCTCCCTCCCGCTCTGTCTGAATAAAAAATGGAAAAATGTCCTCAAGTGAGGATTAAAAAAAAAAAGAATGTGCTTCCATACATCCAGGGAGTGAAACCAATAGACAGTAGACAGACAACTTCAGTAGACAGAAGGAAGCAACTTCAGCACGACAGTGGAGGAGGTCCCAGGACGATGAGTTTGCATCCAGCCTATGGAGCAAACAGTCCAGGTTGGAGCAGAGGACCCAAGACACTGGGGCCTGGGAGACAACTGGTTGACTAGCTGATGTGTCAACAATGTGAAAAAATTATTGCTAGATGTTTTACAGATTTGTAAGAACACTTGAAAAAAACTAATATGCAATTTAGTTCAACAGCAGACACTTTCTATCTAGTTCAGTAATGTGAACACTGGTTATTGATTTAACAAACATTGTGATGTAAGTCTATTTGGAGGATCACGGGAGTAAATGGGGTGGGGAGCTGGGGACTGGTGAGTGGAAGCTTAAGTCCTCCTCCAAAATTGATAATCAAGAACAGCTACAAAAACATAAAATTTAGAAATATACAGGTAAAGGGTAGAAAGTGGATAGGAGGAAGTACAAACATCACTATTGCTTTTTTTGTGCATGAAATCATTTAGTACTTTTTGTTGTTTGAATGGTCCCATGCATTTTGATAAAGTTTTCTTTACAAAGATTACGTGGCTATTTAAATTATAAGTAGAAAAACTGAGTTGCTTTTTGGAAAAATGCTTATACTATATTAACTCCTGTGGTCTGCCAGGATTTGAAAGTCTTTGCAGTAAGAAAGTCCAGCTGGGAATGCGGGGCTGGCGGCGGGAGGAGCTGGCATTCTGAGTGTCAGGGTGTCAGAGCTGCCGCCTGTGTCAGACTGCAATCCCAAGCCGGTTTGGACCCGTGTATCCGTGAGGCTAGCGTAACCAGGGAGGGAAACGAAACAGTAAGTGGGGAAAAGATACACTGTTCACCTGTACCCTAGGACTGCAGTGATGCAGATGTTAAGTTCAAATGCGAAGGGCACACAGGCAGGTGAAAACAGTTCAATTTGCCAAAAGTGGGGGTGGGGGTCATTTTCCCCCTTGAATCTAGATGTGTATTAAGACCAATACAATGTGGTGTAAAACGGAATAGAAGTGTTCACAGGAAATCAATGGCGTCCTCTGCTCTGCTTCCCTCCTGCAGCTTAATTGCCTACACGGAACAGTATGTGGAATACGACCCTTTGATAACACCAGCCGAGCCGTCCAACCCCTGGATCAGTGACGACATCGCTTTATGGGACATAGAGATGAGGTAAGATAATAATAATAATAATAATAATAATAATAATAATAATAAAATGTTAATGTTTGAGAGTGGGAGAGGTGTGGGGAAAATGTATGAGGCTGTGGAATTATATCACCCCCATGTTAATGTGACTTTATCAGCTGAACAGAAGCCCTCGGGTAACCTCCACTGAGTTCTGCTTACTCGCGGTTTCTACATCCTTGTAGTGTGGTTTGGACGTGGATCCTTTGTGCCTTCTCTCTGACCCCTCCCTGACCCTCTGCATGTCACGATTACAGGGACAGCCCCTCACACTTCCTAGCTCTGATTGCCAGAGAAAAAAGAATCTGTCGGCCAATTTGCTGTAACACATTTGTTAGACAGCAGCCACAATAATCATGCAGTGAGTGCTGTACATGGAATCCCACAAGAAGTAACATGATTATTCTCACCGTTGACCAGATGAGGAAATGAAGGCACAGAGGAGTTCATGAACTTGCTCAAGGTCACACAGCACGCAGGTGGCAGAGTTAGGATTGGGGCCCAGGCCGAGGGCTCCTGAGCGGTGGTTGTCATCCCTGCCCCTCTGAGTACCAAACGGGGTGACGCCATCACGGCTTCTCCATCGGGAGAGGTGCATTGTTTGTCAATAGCTGAGGAGCCGAAGCCCAGAGGGACTCGGGCCACGTTCACATTGCAGAGGGCGAGGCTCGGGCACAGCTGGTGGGTGTACCTGGGTGCCCTCTGCCCGTCCCTCGTGTCTTTATGTCCCCCTCATTCGCTTTCACTCTCTCTCTTTTTCTGAATTCTTTCCTTGAAATGAAAAACCTTATAAAATGTACTAAAAGTCATAGGTGCTTATTATAAAAAGATTAAACTAGTCAGACATACATAATGAAGAAAATCTCTCCTCCTCCAACCCAATGTCATTGTCTAGAAAGAATTTTTCATGGTCTAACGCCGTGGTTCCCACACTGCACCAGGGTACCCTGGGCCACCGCAGGCCCTCACAGGGCTCCCACAGGGCCATGTGATCTCTGAGGGAAGCGCAGGGCTGCTGCGTTAACTACTAGTTATGGTCGTTCACCGTTTTCAACATTAGGTCACGTTCCATGTCTTATCTTTGCAAATCTGGGTTGTCAGAGCGGTTGGCTGTGATAAAAAACAAGTCCGGCCCTGGCCAGTTTGGCTCAGTGGTTAGAGCATCGGCCTGCAGACCAGAGAGTCCCGGGTTCGGTTCTTGCTAAGGGCACGTGCCTCAGTTGCAGTGTGTCCCCGGCCCCGGTTGGGGTTGTGTGGGTGGCAACCACTCCTTGTGTCTCTCTCACACTGATGTTTCTCTCTCACTCTCCCTTCCTCTCTCCTTCCCGCTCTATCTGAAGATAAATGCAAAAATGTCCTCGGGTGAGGACAAAAAAAATTTTAAAAAAAGCAAGACCCATATAAAAATCGGCAGGGCCCAGGAAATGAGGGTGGCAGGGTCCAATCTGAGTCCAAAGTTTGAGAAGATGCCCAGGGCTCCTCAGCGCACACGCCTTTATTTAAAAGGAAGCAAACACTCATTGTTCCTTCCATTTTCCATACTTCCCATAGCTACTAAGTCGTTAGAACATAAATACATATTAAGTTCTTTGGACCTGACTTTCTAATAAACAAACATGCCCTAGGTCATCCCTTCTAATCTCATCCAAGAACTTAAATCTCTTTTCTTTTAACTTGGGATTTTTTTTTTCTTTCATTTTTTTAAATCACTGCTACTCTTTTCTCCATTCAATCCTCTCTTCTCGGGAAGTCCTTTTGTGGGACTCCTGGGCCTATGGGATGGAGCGACTGTATCTCTTATCTTTCCTCCATTATCTTTTTTATAAATATATATTTAAGGATACAATTCCTTGTATTACTCTTCAGAGTCTCCAGTTTTGTTTTCAGTGATGTCCATTCTGTGATTTTATATTTTAATGAGTTTTTCTTTTCCTACGAAGTGTTGGGAGGGGTAGTGATGATCATGCTTTTTATTTCTGGAAATTCTTAATATTTCTTGGACTCCTTTCTCTTAGAAGCCTGCTCCGTTCTACTGATGTTTACCCGCTTGAGTCCCCTGAGGGAGGGGGACAGGTTTTCTCACATTTCTGAGTGTCTGCAGCTCAGCCTGTTTCGCAGGGGCGGTTGATCAGAGAGGTGCTGTTTCTAGCCCTTGTTCCGTCACCCCACTCACCGTTCAGAGCAGATCGGTCTGTTCCCGTGCCCGGCAGTCTGGGGGACTGTGGGGTTTCATAAATGAAGCACTTAGCTTTCAACTCTGGCCATAAATTAGAGTCACCTAGACCATTTGTTATTGGTTTTTTTATTTATTTATTTTTTTATCCTCACCCGAGGATATTTTTCCTTTTTTTTTTTTTGTACAGATAGAATGGGAGGGAGAGAGAGAGAGAAACATCGACGTGAAGGGACATACATCGAGTGGCTGCCACCCGCACGACCAACCAGGACCAGGGACAAACTGCAACCGAAGTACGTGCCCTTAGCGGGAACCGAACCCGGGTCTCTCCGGACCGCAGGCAGATGCTCTAACCGCTGAGCCAAACTGGCCAGGGCGTTATTGGTTTTTTTAAATACCAGTGCCACCCGACTGGTACGGCTCAGTGGTTGAGCATCAACCCATGCACCAAGAGGTCGCTGGTTCGATCCCCGGTCAGGGCACATGCCCAGATTATGGGCCTGTTCCCCAGTGGGGGACATGCAGGAGGCAGCCAATCGATGTTCTCTCTCATTGATGTTTCTATCTCTCTCTCCCTCTCACTTCCTCTCTCTCTAAAATCAATAAAGAAAGAAAAAGTTTAAAAATAATAATAAATACCAATGCCTAGTTCCCTTCCCAGACCAATTAATCAGGAATTTCTGGAAGTGAGGCATTGGTGTTTTTTTTCACATCTCCCCAAGTTCTTCCAGTACAGCCCTGGTTTGGATGGATCATGTCAGTAGCTGGTGAGGGCTCCTCAGCTATGGTGTGGGTCACTGGTTCTCAAAACACAGAGTGTCAGAACCACCTAGGATGCTCATTAAAAATACAGATGCCGCGCTGGCCGGTTTGGCTCAGCGGTTAGAGCATTGGCCTGCGGTCCAGAGAGACCCGGTTTCGGTTCCCGCTAAGGGCACGTACCTCGGTTGCAGTTTGTCCCCGGCCCTGGTTGGGTTGTGCAGGAGGCAGCCACCCGATGTGTCCCTTTCACCTCTCTCTCTCTCTCTCTCTCTCTCTCTCTCTTTCTCCCCCTTCCACTCTGTCTACACAAGAAGTAGAAAAATGTCCTCGGGTAAGGATAAAAAAAATTAAATAAAAATTTAAAAAATACAGATGCCCGGGGCTGGTTCTGGGGATCTGTTTCCAGCGAGCATTCCAGACAGTTTGGAGGCACCACCTACTTAGAAAGTCCCTGTGTGGTTCACAGACACCCCCAGGCTCCTCTGCAGTTCAGGTGGCAGCAGGGCTTCACCTGGGTCTGTCGGTGGGAGGGCACAGGTCAGCTGGCGAGGTTCCTCTCCGGGTCCTGGCTGTGTGGTCCAAGGACGGACAGAAAGACGGGGTCCCCTCTCAGAGTGGGACTGGCGGCTGTGAGGGCCCCTGGGTGTCAAGCCCCACCTTCCCTTAGTGACGTCCCTGCAGCCAGACAGATGCTCTGCTCTCAGGCCCGGATGGGGTTTCTGAAGCCCTCCAGTTTCCTCTGCACAGTGCCCCCCAGCAAGCCCTCTTCTTCCTTCTGCCGGGGGTTCTCAGGGGGACCCGGTCAGCTCAGCAGAGCCAGTGAGAAGTAGGGAAAGCCGGCATGTCTTTAGAAGTTGCCGAGATCCTTTTCCCTCTATGCTCGCTGTTCCGCTCCTCGGTCACAGAGGCACTGCCCCGGTTTTACTGCCCAGACCAGAGGCTGCCGGAAACATTCCTCTGCTCAGGAGGCCCTCTCTGCCGAGTGGAGACCGGGCCTCGCTGCTGAGTTTCTCCCCGTGCCCCTGTCCAGTGCCCACCAACAGCCTCTTCCTGCAGTCCTGCTGCTCAGGCCTGGGGTTTGCCCAGGCTTCTGCTGGGGACACCCGGCTCTTACTTCTAGAAGGACCCACTGAAATCATAGGCGACTCTCAGTCAGACGTCACCAGTGCAGTCCACCTGCTTCCTGCCTCCTGGAACTTCTCAGTTTGTCATCTGCTAAAGGGAAATGTCTTTACCTCTGCATACTATGTTGGTGCTTTCTTCTTGCTTTGTTGCTGCTGTTGTTGCTGTTGCTGTTGTTGCTGTTGCTGTTGTTGCTGTTGCTGCTGTTGCTGCTGTTGTTGCTGTTGCTGCTGTTGCTGTTGCTGTTGCTGCTGTTGCTGTTGTTGCTGCTACTGTTGCTGCTGCTGTTGCTGTTTCTGTTGCTGTTGCTGCTGCTGCTGTTGCTGCTGCTGTTGCTGCTGTTGTTGTTGCTGTTGTTGCTGTTGCTTCTGTTGCTGCTGTTGCTGTTGTTGCTGCTGCTGTTGCTGCTGCTGTTGCTGTTGCTGTTGTTGCTGTTGTTGCTGTTGCTGTTGCTGTTGCTGTTGTTGCTGTTGCTGCTGCTGCTGTTGCTGCTGCTGTTGTTGCTGTTGCTGCTGCTGTTGCTGTTGCTGTTGTTGCTGTTGCTGTTGCTGTTGCTGTTGCTGTTGCTGTTGCTGTTGCTGTTGCTGTTGCTGTTGCTGTTGCTGTTGCTGCTGCTGCTGTTGCTGTTGCTGTTGTTGCTGTTGCTGTTGCTGTCGTTGTTGTTGTATTCCACTAAACACCAGACTCTGGCCAGTTCCGTTCTTGGGCCTCTCTCCTGTCCTCAGGTGGCTGGCTCCCCCCTCATTCAGTCCCACTCCCCACTGGTGTCCCTTCCTCAGAAAGGTCTTCTGTGACCGCTCGGTCCACAGTCGCACCCCCTCCGCCCAGTCATTCTACGTCACATCTTCCGCTGCTTCTCTTTCTAAATAGGACTTAAATTATTTTAGCATCTAGACCCAGGTCCGGCGCACAGTAGGCACTCAAA